GACTGTACCCATGCGACACCCCAACCTTGGGACATCCATGTCAGTGGGAGTGGGGTAGTGATTGGAACATGTTAAGTGATTTTGCATCAAATCCTGTCCTTTCAGGTACTTGCAAGCACAAGTCTCACCTGAGCCACCACCTCCACCCACTTTCAATTACTCCAGGGCTCCACCCCTCAAGTCTGGAGTGCCCAGCACCAGCCTTCTGGGGGACCCAGAGTAGAGGGATAGGTAGAGAAACAGAGACACAAAGTAGGGGGGTTGATCAGAGGGAGGAGTGATATAACTCCTGAACTCCCACATTTGCCGTGGCCCTTTCCCTCCCCTATCCCCCCAAGGCTGACCCTCCAAACCTCAGCACCTCCTGGACCTGGGGAGAGGACAGAGCCTGCCTCTGTCCACCTGAAAGGAGACTGCCCCCCGTGGGGTGGGAAAGGGGGAAAGCCGGTGGGTGTGCCGCCTACCTGAGTTTGACAGCAGAGAATCAACAGCTGGAAACACCTGTGTGGGAGATGAGGCAGACCCGGCTATGGGCACCTGGGGAGCCTGGTAGTGCACCCAGCCCTGCGCCTGCCTCACAGCCCTCATGGGGGTCCTGGGGAGATTAAATCTGCCCCAGGGACTGGAATGGGAACAACGGAACTTCTGCCCAGGAGGCAGCACACTTACAGCGTGAGGTTGGGCAGCAGGCTGGCGGCTCCCATCGCTGGAGACACTTCTTGAGGCGTTTGCCCCCCTGCCCCCAAACTCAGGAGCAGATGTGGGCAGTCCCCAGGGGTAGAGTCCCAGAGAAGCCAAGGTCTCTCTGAGCCACAGGTTTTCAGGGGGGAGAGGAGGAGAGAGAGGAGGAGGAGGAGAAAGAAGGGGGAAGCAGGGGGAGGAGGAGGGGGAGGAGGGCGTAATTGGGAGACTGAGGTGTGAGGTGTCCACCTTCCCGGCCAGTGAGGCTGCTTGGCCAATGCAGTGGGGGCGTGCGCTCATGCCCTCTGGGCTGCCAGCCTCCCATGGGCTGCCCCTCGAAAGGACAAGCTGGGGGCCCTCTTGATGAGGAGGTGGCCCTGCTGTCCCCAGTCTAGCTCTATTCTGGACCTTCACAGATTCTAAGCCATGTGGGGTGTGCTGCAGGCAGAGCCCCTCCTCCCACTCAGGGTCAGCTTCTCCCTCTCAGGTTTGGCTCCCCATGTCCCCAAGGATGAGCCACAGGTGTCAGCAGAGCTAGGGCTGGAGTCTCTGGCTCTGGGGTGGAAGGTCCCAGAAGCAGCCTTAAAAGGAGGAGCCTCTCTCTAGGGGGCAAGGGTAGGCTGGGCTTAGAGCTGTGGATTGCACTGTCTCTCTGTCACCCCTTGCCACTGGGAAGGAGTAGTTAAGGTCGTCTGACCACCAGCAAATAGTGGGCTCCATAGGCTGGACCAGGTGGGGAGAAGGTGCAGCTGGAGACTTGGGGAATCCCACTGGGGAGGTGCAAAAGCTGACCTGTGTTGGTGTAAACCCCCTTTCTCTAAGCCTCTGTAGTTGCCTGTGAGAAATGGGGACAGGAATGCCTCAGGGTGCTGAGAGCCAAGTGACATAGCAGCACAGGGCAGGATTCAAAACTCATGCTTTCTGGACCTTGCCTTGGGCAAAGACCCAGCCCCACTCCCCTTCCCTCCTGCAGTGGCCATCCCTGAAGCCTCTCACAGCTGAGAGGAGCTCAGAGCCTCCCCCTTGTCCCCAGCAGCTGCTTGGGATGAAGCACCTGCCAACCTTTCCATATGACCTTTGGTCCCACGTGGCTCTGTAGATTACCAGCTGCTGCCCCGAGGCACAGACGAGGAAACTGAGGCATATGGCCCGGTAACTTGCTCAGATGACTCAGCTAGCGAATGGAGTAACCAAGCTTCCAAAGTCCATGTTCTTTCCATTCTGCATGGATTGTGCGCCCCCCTCCAGGGCCCAACCCTGAAGTTTTCAGTGTAGGGGATTAAAGGCAATATCTGAGGTCCTGTAGCTGGTGACCAGGGAGCTGTAATGGTGACTACAGGTGGGCTTGGTGGGGGGCCTCTGAGGTCCAAGGAGCCAGAGCTTGGACCTGGGCTCCCAGGGTTCTCATATCTCCAGGCTGGGAAGGGGAAATGCAGAGGATGTGGATTTGTTTACCTAAATAGATGACTAGGAGGGGGAAACTCTCACCTCTAGGTTGCTTCTCACCTTCCTGAGCTAGATCAATCCACAAAGTGGTCTGCCACCCCCCGCCCACCCCCTAGACACCTGAGAGCTGCCGCAGGGGGCCCAGGGATAGGCCCAGGCTGAGCCAGCTGGTGTGAGGAGAGCTTTGCAGTCATGCTCACAGCATATCCAAACTGGAAGGGACCTTAGAGATTCATCTTCTGCTTCAACCTCCCAGACCTCAGGGTCCATGTTGGAGGTGTCAGCTGGGGAATGGAAAGGGGCAACCTTGGGCTATGGGGGCTTCCTGGCCATTGGGCCTCTAATCCTGAGCACCTGGCTCCTATCAGTGGGGACAGGGCCTGCTGTCACTGGCCGGCCTGGCTCTCCATGGTAACATTCATCCAGACACATTCTGCTGTGGGAACAACTTCATAGGTGGGATATCTTTAGCCCCTTGTCCTTCCCCATGTGGCACCTGCAGGCCTGGCTTTCTGACTTGGTTTGTTCCTTCACACCACGGGAAAGCCAGTGGTGGGCCCCAAGTGGAGAAGAACCTTTATCCCCTGAAGGTGTGTGACCTGTGGCAAGGCCCTTTACTTCTCTGGTCTCATGGTTCCAATTTATAAAATGCAAATGGCCACTACCACTGATGGGGTTAAATGGTCACCCTGAGAGTCAACTGAGATCAGGACTCACTGGAACGTATCAAGTGCCCCAAGAGTAGGGGAAGGGGCAAGGACCCTCAGTGTAGTTCAGCCTCAGTTTACCTAAACTTTGGTAGACTTTTTGCCTTACTGGAGTGATCTGGGGCAAAAGGGAGGAGAGAGGAAAAGCTCCTCAACATTTACGGGGTGCAGGAGGTGATAAGGGACTGAGAAGTAGCCCAGGCTGTGTGGTGAATCCCCACCCCGTAGTGCCAAGTTCAACACCCCCCAGCTGGGACTGTCTCACGCCTGCTCCTCCAAACAGCCCAGCTGGTGTGAACATGGAGCCCACCTGCAGACCTGCCACTTGTCACCACCTGCTTTAGCCCCAGCCCACCCTTTTCCTGTTGAAAAACAGTCAGGGCAGGGGAAGGTGCCAAGTGCCCAACTGGCAGACAGACGTGGCTTTGCTCTGTGACTCCTGCTGTCTGCCTGCACCTCAAAATCCAGGATCCCCAGTTTGGGTTGTCCCTCCGGGACTCACACCTCAGGCACACTCACTAAGTCCTGCTCTCAGCAGAGTGGTTAAAAGCCAGAACTCTGGGGCCAGACTCTGCGGTTCCTCTGCCAGCTGTGTGACCCAGGAGCAAGTTGTCATCTAACCTTTGTGCCTCACTTTTCTCACATGAGAAATGGGGCTAATACCAACCCCCTCAAGGTGAGGTCATAAGGATCAAAGGAGCCAGCCTGTGGGAGGCTCTCAGAGCAGGGCTGCTGGAAGTGTGCCTCACTGCCATCCAGTAGTCTCCTTTCTGCCCAGACCCTGCCCCGGGCCCTTAGTACTCTGTTCCTATTCCCAGACACGTCCTTCTACCAGCCCCTCACACAGCCTGACACCCCTTCTTGTCCATTACCTCCTCTGAAGGACCCATCAGACCCCCCCCTCACTGAACAATGCTCCTCTTGGAAATTAGCCTGTTTGATTTTCTTGAAAGCACTTGATGGTCACTGAAATTATGGCATTGGCTTCTGTACTTCCACTAGACTGTCAGTGACTTGAGGGTGAAGTGACCCTCAAACACCAACTGCTTATTTGGAGTGGCCTCTTGTCACTCTCTGGGTGACCTGAAGTTAGTGGCCCACCATTAGAGGATTGGCTAGCATCCCTCTGTGTCTAATGGAGTGTGGGAAATTGTTAGCAAGAATGCCACCTGCCCTCTTCTGTCTCTAGCCTGGAGAAGCTATGGCTGAACAGAGCCCAGGTGACCTTCCTGTGCAGGTCGGTTCCAAGACCCGACCTCGTGGGATCCATACCTGGGGGTGCTGAATGTATAACCCCAAATGGGAGGCCATCTGTGTATCTGCCTGCTTCTGGGAATAAGCCAGGGTCACTCATGGATGACAGGGATCTAAAGCCACCTATTAGGGCAGGAGGCCAGACCCACACAGCAGGTCTTCTACCCATTTTCCAGTCCTCTAGTGGACTCACCCCAATCCTTGACTGAGCCCTGTGTAGGGGACATGTGGGGCTTAGCACCTCTGCACTGCTCACCCTGTCTACCCTATCTCCAAGGGTTTCCTTAAGAGTGCAAGGCCTCTGCCCTTCTGCCAGGCATGTGAGGTCTGTGTGAGCAAGAGCTGGCCCCTACCAGAAGGGGACCCCAAGGTCTCAAATAGATACTCTGCGAACTTGACACCTGTTGGGCTGGCCCCCGTGGCCAAGGCCCTCCCTGGCCACCTGAGCAGTGGAAGCCTTTAAGTTCTGGACCTATAAACCTGGCCAGAGAGAGTGAGGAGGCAGGAAGGCCCACCTGACACTGAGACACTTGGTCCCTCCCTCAAAGCTGGGGGGTGGGGTGCCAGGAGGAGGCTCAGCAGCTTCAGGCTCAGGAGACCTCAGGGCCTGGGTGTGCTGGTTCGTGGCTGCCCTCTGCCGGGCACTTGGGCTGCGCAGCGGCGAGGAGGCCAGCACCAGGGAAGAGGAGGAGGAAGGGTCTTGGCAAAGCAAACTTTATTGTGGCTCTGAGGTGAGGCTCTTCTCTCTAGGGCCTCTGGAAAAAGGAGAGTTGGGGTGAAAGGGTTTGGCGTCACCCTCCACAGCAACCCTGCCTCATTCAGACTCAGATGGAGAGGGTTGGGTGGGGTTCACCTACACCCACAGCAAGCCCAGTGGAGGCCCACTCTGCACAGTGCTCTTGTACGCCTGGCTCATTTCTTAGACCCCAGCTTCTTGGGTTTGGCCATGAGTTTGGTCTGTGGAGAGAAGGCAGGACACCCCTGTCCTACTCCCTGCTCAGCCTGGGCAGCCCTCACAAAGCTGTCTGCCTCCCCACAGCCCTGATCCCCACTCACCTTCCTCGCTGGGCTCTTGCCTCTAACAATGGATCTGGAACAGGGTGGGGGTGGACAAGGGGTGGGGTGTGGGTGGGAGTGAGCCCAGCCAGTGCCCACATGGCTCTCCTAACATCCACACCGGGGAGCCCCCTCTGGCTGGTCACCTCCCAGGGGCCACTCTAAGCCTCTGTAAACAAGGTGTCTCTTCCTTTTTAGACTTCCATCTTCATATATCCCAAATATATCTTTTCATTAAAATGTAATAAACCATCTTTTCAATATGGTTCATGAACCATACTGCACAAAATATAGCAAATGGACAAGAAAATGAGTTTTCTTTATCTGTCAACCAATATCAAAACTTTGGTGTAATTCCTTTCAGGCTTTTTTTTTTTTTTTTTTTTGAGACAGAGCTTCAAGCTGTCTCCCTGGATAGAGTGCTGTGACATCACAGCTCACAACAACCCTCCAGCTCCTAGGCTCAAGCGATTCTCCTGCCTCCACCTCCCAAGTAGCTGGGACCACAGGCGCCCGCCACAAGGGCCGGCTATTTTTTGGTTGCAGCCGTCACTGTTGTTTGGCGGGTCCGGGCTGGGGATTCGAACCCGCCACCTTAGGTGTATGTGGTAGGCGCCAAGCCACTTTTTTAAAATTAATTTTTTTTAATCAAACTCCTTTTAAAAATGTGAAATAAAATGATTGCTATCCTGTTCTTGAAATCCTGTCAGCACTTTCAGGTTGCTATATTCTTTGTAAGCATTCTGTAACATACCATTGAGAAGATGTGGCACGGTTTACCTGTGACACTGGTAGATATTTAGAACACTTTCACTTTTCCGCTATTATTTGTAATAATGCCATATTAGTGCATATGGTTTTCCTCCTATTTTGGACAGTATTCTTTGGATGGAATTGCCGTAAGTGGCAAGAAAGTGATGCCTACTTCCAGGGCTACCATGTCCCTGGGCCCATGTTTTTGTGCACAGACACATATCAGTTACACTGCTAGCACTACAGCCTCAGCTACAAGATTTTGGCTCATTCAATAGTTACCTGGATAGTTCTTCTTTTTCCAGCTTTTTTTTCTGGGAACCAAAAATGAGCACATTAGGAGAGTTAGGGTGAGATCCATGAGGTCTCCGGCCGAGTTCCTGGCAGGACTTGGCCGCAGTGGCCTTAGCCTGCCCTGCACACACTCCACATGGGAGGCCCAGCCCCAACTCCTGGTGCCCCATCCCGCAGGTGCCTCTGCAGAGTCCCCACCTCATTTCAAACAGCTGCCTCCTTTCCCCACCTTAGCAGCACTCGCCTGCTTCTGGCTCCCCGGCCTTTTGATTTGTTTGACCGGGAGGTCCTCATCTATAGATATTTCTGCATCCTCCTCTTCTTCTTCCTCTTCTTCCTCCTCTTCTTCTGCTTCCTCCTCCTCCTCCTCTTCCTCATCCCAGGTTACGTCTGAAGGTTGTGTGACAGCATGGGAAAGGGGGCAGGTCAGAGCTTCTGGGCTCCAGGGTTGCTGTCTAACTCCCACTCCAAAATTGGTTCTGCTCCAAGTATTGCCCTGATTGGAAGTGGTCACCTACCTACTGCCTGTGAAGGGCCATACCCTTTGTGGCCCTCCTGACAAAGTGGAAGCCAGGGTGAAGTAGGGGGTCTAGGAACACAGAGGGCTGGGGGTAACAGAAAGAGGGCAGGGGATGTGATGCGGTCTGGGTAAGAGGAAGGTCCCTATAGAGCCAGAGGCAGGGCCAAGGTTGCAGGTGGGCACAGTTGGGGAGAGGAATGGGGTACCTAAGACAGACAGCTGACAAATTCAGATCTCATCCTAGGGGAAGTGAGACCTGCCAGAGGTTTTTAAGCGGGACAGTAGAGTGATGAAAGAGGCACAGCTGTACAGAGAAGAGGGCCAGCTGAAGGGCCCTTGAAGGGGTTAACATTATGCCAAGTAGCTATGGTCCATGTCACTGCTACAGCTGCACACCACAGAGCAGCCATGTTTTCCGTGCTCCTTATAAAAGGCATAAGGCCAAGTGCTTTCCTTGAATAGCCCATTCATTCCTCACAATTACTCCTTCAAGTTGAACCCAAGCATAGTCCCATTCTCATGTACAGGTGAGGGGCTGAGGTTCATAGAGGACTTGGCACGGAGGTACAAGACCTGGGACCAGGACCCTTGACCATGGTCTTCCACTAGCCCAGGGTACTGGCAATCTTGTTTCCTTTGGGGACTTTCTCCAAAAATTCAAAATCTATCAAGTGTTTGAGTATCTAGTACATCCCTAGCCCTATGCTAGACACTGTTCTTAGACCATTCCCGTGTCCAAGCTCAGACTTACCATAACATTCCTGGCCACTTAGGAACACAGGTCCTGAGCCAGCCCGGAGGTGAAAAGTGACTGGAGGAGAAAGCTCTAATTTCATCATGGAGACCTGCAGAGGGAGGGACATGGAAGTAGGAGCACAGAAGACAAGGTAAGTCAGACCTGGCATCGGCGGGGGTGGGGTGGGGTGGTGGGGTGGTGGGGTGGTGGTGGTGGTGCTGGCCTTGGGCAGAAAGACTCAATTTATTCCCCTCCCTCAACCAGGAACACTTAAGAGTTGTTTTGCACCCTGTACCCTTTTGCTTAGGTGGGTTCTATCCAAGAAGAATGTGAACCTGATAATCTTATCGTCACCCAAATCACAAATGTGCTTCCAAGCTCAGGGCAGCTGTTAGATTGCTAGGAGCCAAATAGTGTCCCCCAACCCCCAAGTTCATATGTCGAAGCCCTAACCTCCAATGTGATGGTGTTTGGAGGTGGGGCCGTGGGAAGTGATTAAGTCAAGAGGGTGGAGCCCTCATGATGGGGATTAGTGCCCTTGTAAGAAGAGATGCTAGAGAGCTCCCCTCGCTGAGTGAGCACACAGTGGGAAGCCACAATAAGACTTCACCAGAACCCAACTGGGCCGGCCCCTGACCTTGGACTCCCAGCTTCCAGAACTGTGTCTGTTCTCAAAGCTCTCCCAGTCTGTAGTATTTTGTTATAGCAACCCAAGCTGCCTGAGACACTGATCAAATAAGCAGATGCAAAGTTGTATGTACAGAACTATGTCTGTCTTATGAGTACTGTATGGATATGCAAATGAATAAAGGCTGCAACATATTAAAGTGCTGATCATAATTGTAAGCAGACACTAAGGCATTTAATCGTCTTTATAATTCTCCAAACTTTCCACATTTTCTAGAATAATGACAATGGCTTAATATGTTTTTTTTAGTCTCACTCCATCAGCTTGGGTAGAGCACCATGGCATCATAGCTCACAGTAACCTCAAACTCTCAGGCTCAAGTGATCCTCTTGTCTCATCCTCCCAAGTAGCTGGACCTACAGGTACCCACTAGTTATTTTTATTAGAGATGGGGTCTTGCTCTTGCTCAGGCTGGTCATGAACTCCTGAGCTCCAGCAATCCTTCTGCCTCAGCTTCCCAGAGTGCTAGGATTAGAGTGCTAGGATTACAGGTGTGAGCCACCTTGCCCAGCTTTGATAGCTTAAATTGCTTGAGCTGCCACAAGCCAGGCATCATGCTAATCATTTTAACTACTTTCTGTCATTTAAATCCTCACAAGAAGGCCATGACAAAACTACTGTTACTATACAAAGGAGGAAACTGAGGCTTAGTTTTTTTTTCTTTTTTTTGAGACAGAGTCTCTGTCACCCAAGCTAGAGTGGTATGGCATCAGCCTAGCTCACAGCAACCTCATACTTTTGGGTTTAAGTGATTCTCCTAAGAGCCTGAGCCTCCCTAGTAACTGAGACTACCATAATACCTGACTAATTTTTGTATTTTTAGTAGAGACAGGGTCTCATTCTTACTCAAGCTGGTCTTGAACTCTAAGGGATTCTTCTGCCTCAGCCTCCAGAGGGCTAGGATTACAGGCATGAGCCACCATGCCTGGCTGAAACTGAGGCTTAGTTAGATTAATTTACAGCTTCTGGTTCAGGCAGAGGTAAATAAGTGAAAAGAGATTCTGCAGCCATAAACACCTAGAAATTCTGGGGTGGTGCCTGTGGTTCAGTGGGTAGGGCACCAGCCCCATATACTGAGGGTGGCGGGTTTGAGCCTGGCCCCACCAAACTGCAATAACAACAACCACAACAACAAAAAATGGCTGGGCATTATGGCAGGTGCCTGTTTAAAAAAAAAAGAAATTCTGGATGGAACGTAACTTAATGTTTTTATCCTATAGCTGATGGCAAGACAGAAAAAAGGATCTTCATGTATCAGAAATGGAGAGAGGTGTGTGCTAGAGCTGGGCCACAGCAGCTGAAGGGAAATGGCCTGGAAATAGTCAGAGCACTGGGTTTTGATACGCAGGTGTGCAGGAGGCAGGCCAAAGGACTACATCCTTAAGAAGAGGCCCAGGGTGAATAGAGGATGGGGACCATAAAACCCCAAACCATCTCTCCCTCCAAATAACCCAGAAAACACCCCCCCAGGTACCCTTAAAGGAAGGTAACAAGGAAGTATAAATGGGAATAAAAGAAATCCCCTTGAATACCCTAAAACCCATAGCTGTAGCTCACGTATAAGAGGACTGAATTTACTCTGTGGGTACTGCTAAGCCAAGACATTTTGCATTAAATCTCAGAGTTTGTCATATTTGTGGGGTAAATGGCAGAAGCAAACATAAAAGTACTGTTGGGACAGTCCCCAAACCTAGGCCGTACATCATTCTTTCAGAAAAGAGCAAAACAAACTTCAAAACCTAAAGATGAGCTCACCATATAAAATTACAAAGCACATGACATGATACTGCCAGAGTCAGCAGAAAGAAACCAAATGACTGCAAACCAGCACAACCGAGAATTTAAGGGAATGCCAATCTAAAAAATTATGAAATAAGTTCGATTAAAATGAAATAAATGGAAAACCAGAAATCAGAATCTTAAGAACAAGGCATTACAACAAATAAAAATAGGGCCGGGCACAATGGCTCATGCCTGTAATCCCAATACTCTGGGAGGCCGAGGCAGGTGGATCACTGAAGCTTATGAGTTCAAGACCAGCCTAAGCAAGAATGAAACCCCATCTCTAAAGAAATAGTCGAGGGTTGTGGCAGATGCCTGTAGTCCCAGCTACTTGGGAGGCTGAGGCAAGAGGATCGTTTGAGCCCAAAAGTTTGAGGTTGCTGTGAGCTATGACACCACAGCACTTTACTGGGGCAAGAAAGTGAGACTGTCTCAAAAACAAAAATAAAATGTAGCTTTCTAGATATGAAAAATAGAAGCATCGAAATCAATGGAATAATTTAAAAAGTAGAATAAGCCAGCAGAGGCAATAATAAATAAGATAGAATAATGCTGCAAAGAAGTTACCCAGTATGGCTTAGCACTTGTAGCTCAGTGGTTAGGGTGCCAGCCACATACACCGGAGCTGGTAGGTTCGAATCCAGTCCGGGCCTGCCAAACAACAATGACAACTGCAACCAAAAAATAGCCGGGTGTTGTGGCAGGCTCCTGTAGTTCCAGCTACTTGGGTGGCTGAGACAAGAGAATCACTTAAGCCTAAGAGGTTGCTATGAGCTGTGATGCCACTGCACTCTACCCAAGGTGACAGAGTGAGACTCTGTCTCAAAAATAAAATAAAAGACACATTCTGGGGTGTAAAACATTATTAAAAAAAATTTTTTTTGAGACAGGGTCTCACTCTGTTGCCAGGCTAGAGTGCAGTAGTGTCATCACAGCTCACTGGGGCTTCAGACTCCTGAGCTCAGGTGAACTTCTTGACTAATTTTTCTTACTTTATGTGGAGTTGGGGTCTGGCTAATGTTGCCCAGGCTGGTCTCAAACTCCTGGCCTCAAGTAATCCTCCTGCTTGAGCCTCCGAAAGTGCTGGGAATACAGGAGTGAGCCACTATATCTAGCCTACACCGCTTTTAGTTGGAAACTCTATCAATTAAGTTCTCAGGCCAAAATTGAATTAAATAAGAAATCAATTAATTTTAGAAAATCCCTAATTACCTGGAAGTTAAATACACATATACTTCTAAATCCTCCAAGGGCTGAAGAAGGCAACTAGAGAATAATTTGAACCGAATGAAAATGAAAACAGTACTTACCAAAATTTGTGAATTGAAGCTAGACAATTACTTAGAAGGAAATCAGAGCATGAAATGCTTGAATTGGAGAAAGAGTATCTGACAAAAAGAAATAAAAAGATAAAAGCTCCTGCCTTAAGAAACTAGAAAAAGAGCAAGTTAAAACTAAAATAAGCAGAAGAAAGGAAATAAAGGGAACAGGTTAATAAAAATTAAAGAAATGAAGAGTTCGAGACCAGCCCGAGCAAGAGCAAGATCCTGTCTCTAAAAATTGCTGGACGTTGTGGCCAGTGCCTGTAGTCCCAGCTACTTGGGAGGCTGAGGCTGATCACTTGAGCCCAAGAGTTTGAGGCTGCTGTGAGCTGTGACTCCACGGCACTTTACCAAGATGACAAAGTGAGATTCTGTCTCAAATAAATAGATAAATAACAGAGATGAATTGACAAGACCCAAACCCAGCTTTTGAAACAGACTGATAAAAGGATAAAACTAGTAAACCTCTCACCAGAGTAGATATGCCTGCATGTGTGTGTGTGTATATGGAGGGGTGGGGGTAAGGGGATAGGGAGGAGAGGAAGGACCCAAATATCAGGAACAAAAGAGCAGATTTCAGTACAGATAGTACAGAAAAGGAAGGAGAGAACGTTACAAACAACTTTATACCAATATTTGACGATGTAAATGATAAACTTCCTTAAAACAAAACAAAAAGCTCTCAACAAGAAGACTGATAACCCAAATAGTCACTTAACTTGTTATCTATGTTATCTGCTAAATGTCTAAAGACATTTAACTTGTTAAATGATAACCCCATGAGTGTACTAGTGAATTCTACCAAAACTTGTAAGAAATAATACTGAATTTACATGAACTCTTTCAGGAGACAGAAGCGGATAAAACACTTTCCTTCTCTTTAATATGAGGGTAATGCTGGCATCTTAAGACCAGACAAAACCATAAAACTACAGGCCAGTGTTGCTCTTAAATAGACACTAATATCCTTAATATTGGCAAATAGAATCCAGCAGTGTGTGAAAGATTATGGGGCTCATTCCAAGAATGTACAGTAATCAATAACTACTGAAAATCAATGCATTTAATTTGCCACGTAACAAAGAGAAAAAAACCCCCGTTATATAAAGAAAAGATACTCTTGGGCTCAAGTGATCCCCTTGCTTCAGCCTCCTAGTAGCTGGGACTACAGGTGCCTGCCACAATGCCTGGCTATTTTTACAGGTGAGGCCTTACTCTGGGGCTCAGGCTGGTCTCGACTCAGGAGCTCAGGCAATCCACCTGCCTCGGCCTCCCAGAGAGTATAGCAATTTAGAAAACAGTGTGGATAAAGTTTAGTGGATGTTTACCATATCATCCAGCAATTCTACTCCTAGGTATACACCCACGTGAAATAAAAACATGTCCACACTCACACGTTCATAGCAGATTCATTCATAATAGTCTAAAACTGGAAACTACCCGAAAGTCCATTAACAGGTGAATGAACAAATCACGATTAGGATCTATAGAGCGACACCCTACATGTTACCGACATAAAGAAGCACGTCACTGTCTTACCAACATCGTGCATAAGTCTCAACAGCATTATGGTAAGCGAAAAAAGCTGGCTCAAGAGACTGTATACGGAATGATTACATTTAAATAAAATTCTAGAAGAGGCAAAACTATAATGATAGAAAGAGGTCAATGTTTGCCAGAGACAGGGGTAGGTGAAAGGGATTGACTACTAAGCGGATGGGGAGATTTTAAGGGTTCATGGAAATTTTCTCTACTTTGTGGTCACACAATTATATATATTTATCAAACATGTGAAGTTGTAAACATAACCTTGGTAAATTGTATATAAATATACCTTAATAAAGCTAATAAAAACTGACTCAAAGTAGAAATGTCTAAGTAGATCTATAACCATGAAATAAATTACAATAGTTTAAAATCAAAACAATCGCATATCATTCATTCACTCATTATATATTGCAGTCCTACGATATGGTAAGCACTATCATGTAGGCATTATGGATAATGCAGCAAGGAAAGTGTTGGCCCTCTTGGTTGAAGAGAACTTTCTGGGTGGAAAGATAATACACAAAAGCTGATGCTAGTGATGGGTCCTACTGGGGAAAAAGTGATTATTTCCCGGGTGAAGCAGGAAGAGGAGATGCTCCTGGTAGTCAGGGAGGACCTCTTTGATGAGAGACATTGGATCTAAGGCTTGGTGAATGGGAGGGCAACCCATGGGAATATGCAGGGGAAGAGTGTTCTGGAATGAGAAACAGTGAATGTGAAGACCATGAGGGGATATGTTTGAAGTTTAAGGTACAGTCAAGGAGGCTGCTGTGGTTTCAGCAGGGTTGGGGGAGGGGAAAGGAACAAAGGTTGAGGTCAGAGAGATTGCTGAGGGCCAGCACTTGAGGGAGGTGAGAAGCCACTACCTAAACGTTCCAGCAGAGAAGCAACTTGCTAAGTCGTGTTTAAAAGGCTCTTTCTGGAAGTGGTGTGCAGAATAGACCAGAGGCAGAGCAACTTTCTAAAAAGGGCCAGAAGGTAATATTTTAGATTTACAAACCATATGGTCTCCACCAAGACTACTCAACTCTGCTGTTGTTCATGGCTGCTTTCCCTCGACGAGATATAAATGGATGAGCATGGCTGTGTTCCAATAAAACTTTACTTACAAAATGGGCAGTGGGCTAGATTTAGCCCATAGTTTGCCTGCCTGGAAATAGACTACAGAGGACCCAAAGTGAAAGTAGTTGGGAAGTCCCACAATAAAACCAAGCAGCAGGCCATGGTCACCTGGAGCAGGCTATAGCAGGGGGCTACCGCAGGGGAGGTGCTGAGACATGCATATTGTTAAGGTGGAGCCTGCAGGATTTGCTGGTGGATCAGATATGGCTGTGGAAGATAACGTTTGGGGGAGGGTTGAGATAATAATCAAGTACTTGGCTTTAGACAAGTTTAGGACCTCTATTAGAGCTCTATTAAATACACTGAATTGGATATAGGATCAGGAGCTGAAGAGAGGGTTGGATTTACAGAAATAAGTTTGAGTCTTAATGTATACAGATGGCCTTTAATACCATGGAAGAGGATGAGCTCTCCTATGGAGTGTATGGATAGAAAATAGTTTGACAGATGGGTCTCCCCAAACTCGAAGGATGGCTAATCCTAGTCTTATTCACCACTCCCTGGAATACACAGAGGGAATGCTCCTTCCTCAGTTCAGGAGGTTAGCACGCTTCAACACCCTAATAAGATCATTTATAAGACAACCTCAGCTACGAGTTAAAAAATAGAAGTCCTAAGACAACTTACATGAAAGAAAAAAATGAAACTAGAAAAAAGAAAGGTCTCAATGGATTAGCTAAGCAAATCTAGAATTTATAATATGACAAGTCGTGTTTATTCTGGGAATACAAACCAGTTGATTATTCTATTGATATGGCTTACCACGTTAATAAATTAAAGAGCCCAGAATCATATGAATGGAAAAGCATTTGATAAAATTTAACCCTCCATTGATAATTCAAAAGAAAAATTTGTTAAAGCAGAGTAGCACTGGATGAGGACTTAACCACACCAAGGATATTTACCAAACTGCTGGCTTAATGGAGAAATAGTAGAAACATTTCTTTAAAAAAAAATATGGAAGGAACTAAGAATTCCAGCCATTATCAGTTTATGTAGGGATGACACTGGCCATCCCAACTAGTGCAGCAGTGTGGCAGGATTTATAAAGATTAAGACAAACTATCATTATTTATACACAATAATCGTCTGCGTAGAGAACTTGGGATAAATGGAGATAAGAGAATTTCTAGATATACAACCAATAGTGTTCCTGTCTCCAACAGGGAATAGTTCAGAAAAGTTTTTTTGCAGAGAAGTATTTAGCCCCCTAGGTCTCAGACACAGAGGCCGGGTGGGGGTGGGTGGGCTGGACACCGGGCTGGCAGTCATGGGCTGTGTCACCTCCCCAGCATGGCTGTGCCTTTGGAGAGCGAATGCACCTTCATATGTGTCCTTTCCTTCCCCTCCAGACCAGACAGTGACGTCCCGGGGAAAGGCTCACCATGGGCAGGACCGAACCCTGAAGCGAGGCGATGGTGACCGGCGGCATCTTCTTGTCCTCCTGGCTCCCCGCAGGTAGGATCTCCACGCGGTTCAGCTCCTCTTTAGCTTTTTCCCCCAAGCAAATCTGAGAGGGGTTGGAAACAAAACAGAAGCACCTCATCACCCTGAGGGCAGATGGGAGACACCTGTTGTCACCTGCTGGGACTCGAGAAGGCCTCCCGCTCCATCCTTCTCCCCTCCTTGGGGGGCACCCACCGTGTGAAGCAGCAGTTTACTGTCCTGCTTGCCCTCCTGCTGGGGTTTGAAGGTCCAAGTCCGCTTCTCCTGACTGAGTTCACAGCCTGCCCCAGGAGAGAGGGAGGGAAACGGGCAGGCCTCCCCACACCCCAGGAGACTCTCCATACCCTTCCCCGTCCTTTCCTAAGGGCAGCGGCTCTCCAGCGCCCTCAGCTGCGGGGGTGCTCTGGGAAGGAGGCTGGGTCCCCACTCACCCCAAAGCGCGGCGGTCACTGTCTTTTCCCCCGTGCTACTAGTGCTGCTGAGGTTCATGGCGCCCGGAGGAGAAGAGGATGACCTGGCAGCTGCAAGAAGGGGCGCCTGCGGTGAGGCGAGGTCCTGGACCCCGCTCCCCGTCTCTGTGCTCAGCAGGCCCGAGCGCTCGGAGCCACGCCGGAAGCCGGACGGTACGACAGGTGGCGAGGCTTTGCCGGCGGCTGGCGAGCGCCTGCCACAGTCAAGTGCTCATCGTCCGCTCCCGGAGGCCAAGTACCAGCCACCTCACGGGAGGGGAGAGCCCATGGCTCGGCCATCTCCACCGGGGCGCGGAGAAACGCTGTGAACGCCCTGCCCTGTCTACGCGTCTCCAACCTCACCGTCCGTGCTCCGTTCGGGCGGGTCACACCCTGGGCGGCCCCGGAGCGCAGCACAGCCTCATCCCCAGGCTGTTAAAGAGGCCCGAGAAGGAGAAGGGGAGTTGTCCAATCAGCCTGCAAGAACCCCCCAGCTCCCATTCCTTCCTCCTCCCGAGGAGAGCAGAATCACCTGGCAGGCTCACTACAGCGCGCATTTCTGGGTCTCAAGCCGCTGTTTCCTCTTAAGTAGGTCTGGGTGGGGTTGAGCGCATTTGCACGTCTAATAAGGTCCCAGGTGCGGACGATGCAGCTGGTCCGGCGCCGCTAGAACCACCTTGAATGGGCTTCACGGCGGCCTCCGGGCGCCCCCTTTCGGGGCCATGCGCCCTACCTAGAGACGCCCCTCTGGGCTCACCGCCTGACCTCCTCTTCTTTCTATCCCTTTGCCGCCACATGGCCGGGCCTCCAAGGCTATGTTTCCAGGGAGGGAGAGCCCTGTTTTTTTTTTTTTTTTGTAGAGACAGAGTCTCACTTTATCGCCCTCGGTAGAGTGGAGTGCCGTGGTGTCACAGCTCACAGCAACCTCCAACTCCTGGGCTTAGGTGATTCTCTTGCCGCAGCCTCCCGAGTAGCCGGGACTACAGGCGCCCGCCACAACGCCCTGCTATTTTTTGGTTGCAGTTTGGCTGGGGCCGGGTTTGAACCCGCCACCCTCGGTATATGGGGCCGGCACCCTACCCACTAAGCCACAGGCGCCGCCAAGCCGTTTTCTTTTTTCTTTTTTTTTTTTTTTTTGAGACAGAGCCTCAAGCTGTCCCCCTGGGTAGAGTGCCGTGGCATTACAGCTCACAGCAACCTCCAACTCCTGGGCTCAAGCGAGTCTCCTGCCTCCGCCTCCCAAGTAGCTGGGACCACAGGCGCCCGCCACAACGCCCGGCTATTTTTTGGTTGCAGCCGTCATTGTTGTTTGGCAGGTCCGGGCTGGGGATTCGAACCCGCCACCTTAGGTGTACATGGCTGGCGCCTTAGCCGGTTGAGCTACAGGCGCCGAGCCAAGCCGTTTTCTTAATGGCAAGTTTTCCCAGGTAAGGAATCGTAGACGGCGAGTGAGAGGCAGTGGGAACACACGACACGGCACCTCGAGCGACTTTACAAGGGCGACCAAGTAAGAACTTGGGTGCCCAGGGCTGGGGTGGGGGGCGGTGTGCACTTAAAAGTATATTTGAGAGGGAGCAGTAAAGAGGAGACTGCTTCCAGCTGACACATCCGCAAGACATCGCTGCCTGGGAGCCATAAATAACCCGGGATCTCTCTCATGGCATCAAGACCCCGCAGCTCCCCTCCTCCAGTTTGGAAACTTTGAAGACAAGCCGCGTCTGCACTCTTCAGCAGTGACTGTACTTTGAGGGCAAGGATTGGTCTCCCCAGACGAGCGCCACAGGGAAGGAGAGTATGCTTCAGGTTAGAGGGGAAGTGAGCAGGACTCTGCAGCCTTAAATGTGTATTGAGCACCTGCCGCGTACCTGGTTCTTGATTGGGAATTTGGGGGGCTGTAGGCAGATGGAAGCTTGGTCTGTCCCCTAGAGACCAGAAAAAGCCACGTGATGAGGCAGCAACATGGAGGGGCTTCCAGAGGAAGGGAAGAGGTATCCGATTGCTGGGAGGGGCCACGACCTAGGGTGGCCTTAGAGTATCTTCATTATTTGAGCCAGTGGCCGTGTGTGACATAGTGTGGTTAAGATTGGTGGAACAGCATGCATAATGGCTCAGAGGCAGCTGGTCAGAGTGTGGGCATGTGACTGGCAGCTTCCTGATTTCATCCTGCTGCACCAGACTTCCTCCCTCCCTTCCTCTGTGATGATGGTGATAATGATGGCAGTATCTCTTACTACCTCTAGGAGGGGATGTGGTCTGGTTCTTAGTGCAGATGAGGACACTGAAGCACAGAAGGGGAAGTGGTCTGCTCAAAGTCAAAGAGCTAGAAAGTAATACTACATATTGCAGGGGAGCCTGCCATATCCCAGGCCCCATGGCTAAGGTGACTAGACATCCCGCTTTTGGCAGGACAGTCCTGATCTTTAACAATTTGTCCCACGACCCGCAGCGTTTTAAAAAAGTCCCGATTTTTGGAAAGAATGCATGACAAGCTAGGGAACAGTGGCAGAATGGGAAGGGAATATACAATATACGGCTGCTGAAAAGGTTAATAATGTAACTCCATTTGGGAATGAAGAGGTTAATGTAACTTCATTTGGAAATGAAAAAGCTAATGTAAACTCCCTACTCCCCTCCTGGGCAAGGTATCAGAAGGAGACTGGCTCCCTCCCTTGCTTGTATGCAAGGATAATTAGCTCAGAAGGAGCCAAACTGTCTGGAATAAACAAGTAGCTCCCCCAACCCCCCTAAAAGGTGACCAGATGTCCCGTTTTTGGTGGGACAGTCCCGATTTTTAACAATTTGTCCTGCGTCCTGCAGCATTTTAAAAAAGCCCCAATTTTTGGAAAGAATGCACGACAAGCTAGGGAACACAGAACAGGAAGGGAATATACAGTTTTCGGTTTTTGGCTGCTATGTTGCTATTTTACCAGGATATGGTTATATTATTTTTGTTAATTTTATAATGTTAAACTTTAATAGTAACAAATAATCGTTGAGAACTGATTATTGAGAACTGCTTATCAAAGTTTGCATTGTTGTCAGGCCCCCCCCCCATGGTGTTCCGCTTTACCAATGTTAAAATCTAGTCACCTTACCCATGGCCCATGTCCTTAACTGCCAACCCTATGTTACCAGCAGGTGTAGGCATGGGATGGAATCTGAAAGCAATCTGATTCAGTGTCCTATCAGATGCTGACTACCCTTAGGGAGCACTCCTCAACACCTACTTGCCTGATTGCACTGGCTGAGACCCCAGTACTATGTTAAATGGGAGTAGTGAAAGAGGCCATCTTATTCAAGGTCTTAGAGAGGCTTTTAGCTTTTCCCCAGTCAGTATGATGTTAGTTGTGGGCCTGACATATACGTCCTTTGTGATGCTGATGTATGTTCCTTATATGTCTAAATTGTTCCTTTTTTTTTTTTTTTGAGACAGAGTCTCACTCTGTTACCCTGGATAGAGTGCCATGGTGTCATAGCTCACAGCAATTTCAAACTCATGAGCTCAAGAGATCCTCTGGCCTCAGCCTTTTGAACAGCTGTGACTATAGGTGTGTGCCACCATGCCTGGCTAGTTTTTCTATTTTTAGTAGAGATTGGGTTTTACTTTTGCTCAGGTTGGTCTCAAACTCCTGAATTTAAGCAATCTACCCACGTTGGCCTCCCAGAGTGCTAGGATCACAGGTGTTAGCCACTGCACCCAGCCCTAATTTGTTGAGTTTTTATCATGAAGGGATGCTAAATTTCATCAAATGCTTTTTCTGTATAGGTATATGGAGATGATCATATACTTTTTTGTCTCTTATGTCACTTTTTTTTTTTTTTGAGACAAAGCCTCAAGCTATCCCCCCTGGGTAGAGTGCCATGGCATCACAGCTCACAACAACCTCCAACTCCTGGGCTTAAGCGAGTCTCTTGCCTCAGCCTCCCAAGTAGCTGGGACCACAGGCGCCTGCCACAACGCCCAGCTATTTTTTGGTTGCAGCTGTCATTGTTGTTTTGGCGGGCCCAGGCTGGATTCAAACCTGCCACCTTAGGTGTCTGTGGCTGGCACCTTAGCCACTTGAGCCACAGGTGCCAAGCCCATGCCACTCTTATCCTTATACTTCCACCAAGAAACTTCTCACCCACATAAGGTTCATTGATTTTTTTTTTTTGGACAGGATCTTGCTCTGTTGCCCAAGCCAGAGTGCAATGGTGTCATCACAGCTCATAGTAACCTTGAATTCCTGGGCCAAGTCATCCTGTTGCCTCAGCTTCCCAAGTAGCTGGGACTACAGTACCACGGCAGATGGTATTGTATCTACAGTACCTGACAGATTTTTTTCTACTTTTTTGGTAGAGATTAGTTTTATCTTTTGACCATCACTTCTCTAACTAGTAAAACCTGAAACTTTGTATCCTTTGCCCCTCACCTCCCTAACTAGTAAAACCTGAAACTTTGTATACTTTGACTACCACCTCCCTGTTTTCCTCTTCTCTTAGTTCCAGGCAACCATCATTCTACACTCTGCTGCTCTTAGACATTCACGTGTGCCTTTCTGTGTCTGTCTTATTTCACTAAACACAATACTTTCTAAGTCCATTCATGTTGTCTCAATGGCAGAATTCCATTCTTTTTCAAGGCTGAATAATATTCCACCAAATGTATATACCACATTTTCTTTATCCACTCATCTGTCAGTGGACATTTTGTTTCCATAGTTTGTCTATTGTGAATAATGTTGCAAAGAGCACAGGAGTGGAGATATCATTTTTTTTTTTTTTGAGACAGAGCCTCAAGCTGTCGCCCTGGGTAGAGTGCCGAGGTATCACTGCTCACAGTAACCTCTAACTCCTAGGCTCAAGCAATTCTCCTGCCTCCACCTCCTTTAAAGTCCCAGTTTGCTGTTTTTTTTTTTTTTTAATGAACGGATGTTTAATTTCATCACATTTTTAATGTATTGGGATGATCCACTAGTTATCCATTATTTATCTGGTTAATTACATTCTTTTATTTTTTGAATGTTAAAGATCAATCCCACCTGGTCATGATGTATTATT